CTCCCAAAGTGCTGGGATTACAGGTATAAGCCACCGCACCCAGCTTGGTTTTTTTTGTTGTTGTTGTTAGAGTCTCACTTGGGCACCCAAGATGGAGTGCAATGGCACACTCACAGCCACCGCAGCCTCGACCTGCTGGGCTCTGGCGATCCTCTTGTCTCCGCCTCCCAAAGTGCTGGGATTACAAGTGTGATACACCACACCTGGCAAAAAGTCTTTTAAAAAGTAAAATTAGCCAGGCGTGGCGGCTCATGTCTGTAATCTCAGCACTTTGGGAGGTGGAGGCAAGAGGATTGCCTGAGCCCAGGGGTTCTAGACCAGCCTGGACAACATGATGAGATCTCATCTCTACAATAAATAAAAAAATCAGCCAGGCATTGCAACACATGCCTGTGGTTCCAGCTACTTGGAAGGCTGAGGTGGAAGGATCACCTGAGCCCTGCAGGTCGAGGCCGCAGTGGCTATGAGCGTGCCACTACACTCCAGTCTGGGCAACACAGTGAGACTCCAACTCAAAAAAAAATAGTAAAATTAATAGCTGACAGCTATTTGGCATGAACCTCATGCCACCCACTCTCTATCCCCCTTTGCCAAGATAAGCTCAATCAATCCCCAAAACCACCCTGCGAGGTCATTGCTCTTGTTATTCCCTTTTTGCAGACAAGGAAAACTGAGGCCCAGAGAGGTGAAGTCAGTTTCCTGAAGTCACGCAGTTCATCAGAGACCAGGCCGCGATCTAAACTCAGTCTTGTCCCAGAGTCCTAACCCTTAGCTGCTCTGTTGCTCCGCCTCTCAGTGTGGCTGAGAATGACTGCTTCTAAGCCTAAATTTCCTGAGTTGTTAAATGGGGAGATTGGATAAAAGGAGGGTTGTTGAGGGAGTCTAATGAGTTGGCGTAGACGAAGCAGCCAGCCCGGGGTCCACTGGGGAAGTCTTCAACGTGAGCCTGGTGATGTTCGCCTCAGGGTGCTAAGGAGTCAAGGCAACAGCTTGGGGTGGGCACTGGGCAAGGCTTCCCTTGTACTAGCTCTGGAGTGAAGGCCCTGCGATTGGCAAAGAGAAGAACAGGGCCAGCTGGGGGCCAAGGCAACAGCTGAGCCCCCCAAGGGCGCCTGCTGCCCGAGCCCCGAGGCCTCCACCCTGGGCCAGCCTCCCCTCCCCAGAGAAGGGGCCGGAGGAGCAGCCAAATCCCGAGGCTATAAATACCCCGGCTGGCGTCTTCCCTGGCTGTGGAATGTCGGTCAGAACTGGGGCGAGTGGGGGTGGGCTAGCCTGAGCGCCTCTCCCTGTGACACCCCCGGGAGCGACCCCTGCGTCTTCCTGCACCCCGTCTTGGATGGAGCAGAGGGTGGATCCCACCTCCGCGGTAAGGGAGGCCTGGGCCCCTGCCCAGATGAGGGCCCCAAGCGGTCCTCAGGCTCAGCTGGGGGCACCCCGAGGCCCCAGGAAAAGACCAGGCTCTGGGTTGAGGCCAGTGTACCCCACTTTCCACCATGTGTCATCCCAGAAGTAAACTGAGCCCACCCTGATGCAACGCAGTCACCATCTAACTCTCCCTCTTCCTTGCAGTGAAAGAGTTCTTAGCCAAAGCCAAAGAAGATTTTCTTAAAAAATGGGAAAATCCCTCTCAGGTAAGCCCTTGGGTACAGGGTCCTGGGAGGTCCAGCCCCTGCCACCTGGTCCCCAGCGGAGCCCGGTGGCCAGCTCCAGGCCTGCCTGCTCCCTCCCTGGTGCCCACAGCGGCTCACCCAATTGCCCCGCCAAGTGCCCCCTTCCCACACCCCTCCGGACTGGCTGCCCCTGCCCCCCTCGCACAGCTGCCAGCAGCTCCTGGGCCCCCAGCCAAGGCCGATCCCGCCGCCACCCCCTTGAGGAATGCGCCCCCTGTCTGCACCCCGCTCTCTCCGGGCCCCCTCTGCCGGTAGCGGAGGGGATGCCCCAGACCTCAGCCCAGCAGCCCATCCTTCGCCCCTCCCCACAGAATACAGCCAATTTGGATCAGTTCGATCGAATCAAGACCCTGGGCACGGGCTCCTTTGGGCGAGTGATGCTGGTGAAACACAAGGAGACCGGGAGCCACTATGCCATGAAGATCCTTGACAAACAGAAGGTGAGCCCCGGGCCCAACAGGCCCGTATCTCCCCTCCCGTCACCACCACGGCTCCCAGAATCCCACAGTGTGCCAGATCCAGGGACTAGAAGGGCCCGTGCCACTTTCCCAAGACTGGCCGCCACTGCCAAGCAGGGCGCTGGGACACAGGGTCAGATACCAGCCCAGATGGGAAGCAGAAGTCTTTCTGGGGAAAGCAGTGAACATGCTTTCCTAAACATCTCTGAGACCCTACCTCATGCCAGGCGCTGCCATGGGCAGCACCATCCAGCAGAAATGGTACCCAAACCACAGAAGGGATTTTAAACTTTCTGGTTGCTCCATCAAAAAAAAATGATAGGCCAAACTCAGTGGCTCAGCACTTTGAGAGGCTAAGGCAAGTGGACTGCCTGAGCCCACAGGTTTGAGACCAGCCTGGGCAACTTGGCAAGACCTCATCTCTACAATAAATCAAAAAATTAGCCGAGCATGGTAGCACACACCTGTAGTTCTGGCTGCTTGGGAGGCTGAGGCTGAAGGATCGCCGGAACCCAGCAGGTTGAGGCTGCGGTGGCCGGGAGCGGCCACTGCACTCCAGTCTGGGTGATGGAGTGAGACTCCAACTCAAAACAAAACAAAAAAACAAACAAACAAACAAACAAAAAGAATAAAGAAGTGGGCACGGTGGTGTAAGCCTGTAATCCCAGAGCTCTGGGAGTCAGAGGGAGAGGATTGCCTGAGCCCAGGGGTTCAAGACCAGCATGGGCAGCTTGGCGAGACCTCATCTCTATAATAAATCAATTTAGCCGGACATGGTGGCATGAGCACGTAGTTCCAGCTACTTGGAAGGCTGAGGCAGAAGAATCTCCTGAGCCCAGCAGGTCAAGGCAGCAGTGGCCATGAGTGTGTCACTGCACTCCAGCCTGGGCAACAGAGGGAGACTCTGACTCAAAAGAAAAAAACTTAGCCAGCACCTTCACTGAGTGTGCCTTGAAGTTCCAGCTATTGGAGAGGCCAAGGCAGGAAGATCACTTGAGACCAGGAGTTTGAAGCTGCAGTGCACTATGATCAGGCCACTGCACTCCAGCTTGGGCTACAGAGTCTCTAAAAAAATAATAATTAAATTATTTTAAAAATGTATAAAAAGTAAAAAATGAGATTCATTTTAACAATACATTTTAATTAAGCCTACTAGTATATCTACGCATTACCGTTTCCACATTATCAATGTGAAAATATTATCAATGAGACATTTCACATTCCTCTTTTTGTTTGTTTTTGAGTCAGAGTCTCCCTCTGTTGTCCAGGCTGGAGTGCAGTGGCACGTTCCCAGCCACCACAGGCTCGACCTGCCGGGCTCAGGTGATCCTTCCGCCTCAGCCTTCCAAGTAGCTAGAACTACAGGCGTGTGCCACCATGCCCGGCTAACTTTTTGATTGATTGTAGAGACGAGGTCTCACCAAGTTGCCCAGGCTGGTTTCAAACCCCTGGACTCAGGCAATCCTCTTGCCTCCACCTCCCAAAGTGCTGGGATGACAAGCATAAGCCACTGCACGCAGCATCACATTCTTTTTTTTACATACTAAGTTGTCTTCGAAATCCAATGTCTATTTTATGTATCCAGCGTGTCTCCATTCCAATGGTAAATTTTCCTTGGAAAGACAAGGCAAAGTAGGGAAGTTGAAAAGCAGATTCATGTGCCCAAGTTGTTCCAGCCATGCCTGAAAGTTACCCAGCACCTTCACTGAGTGTCAGTTTCTTTTTTTTTTGTTTCCTTTGAGTTGGGGGGTCTCACTGTCACCCAGACTGTAGTACAGTGGTACCATCACGGCTTACTGCAGCCTTGAACTCCTGGGCTCAACCTTTGCTCCTCCCTCAGCCTCCCAAATAGCTGAGACTACAGGCACACACCACCATGCCCGGGTAATTTTAAAATTTTTTTGTAGACCAGACTTAGTGGCTCAGCCCATAATCCCAGCACTTTGAAAGGCTGAGACCAGTGGATTGCCTGAGCCCGCGGGTTCGAGACCAGCCCAGGCAACTTGGCAAGACTTCGTCTCTACAATGAATTAAAAATTAGCCAGGCATGGTAGCACGCGCCTGTAGTTCCAGCTCCTTGGAAGGCTGAGGCGGAAGGATTGCCGGAACTCAGTGGGTCGACGCTGGGATGGTCATGAGCATGCCACAGCACTCCAGCCTGGGTGATGGAGTGAGATTCCAACTTTAAAAAAACCATTTTTTTGTAAAGACAGGGTTTCACTATGTTGCCCAGGCTGGTCTTGAATTCCTGGGCTCAAGTAACCCACCCACCTTGACTTCCCAGAGTGTTGGGATTTTAGGTGTGAGCCACTGTGCCCAGCCAAGGGTCAGTTTCTGAGTCTTCATTTTAAAGACTTAACATTTTAAATTCGGTTCCCCAGCTGACCAGCCACACTTCAAGGGTTCTGCAGCCATCCATGGCTAGTGGGCTCTTGCTGGGCAGGGCAGGTATAGACCCTGAGGACACAGCTATGTGAGCAACAGGTTCACTGACCAGGCGGTCAGGCTGCCCAGGTGTGCCTGGCTGGGTAGCCTTGGGCGAGCCATCTCCTGTCTGTGTCTGGGCTTTCAAATGGGCATTCTCCCAGCGTGTCCCTCTCAGGAATCCTGTCACGATTCAGTGATGAGACACTCTGTGTGAGGTGCCTGCCTGCGGTGTGTACATTTAGGGGACAACTGACAGCTGAGGGCCAGTCAGCCCAAGGTTCAGGTTGGTATAGAGAGTGTTCTAGACAAGGGGAAGGCAATTTCTAAACCCCCCACCCTTGGGCTACTCCTGCCTGTCTTTTCTATTTCCACTCACCCACCCCTTCCTCCGGGAAGCCTTCATCGATTCTCTCTTTCTCTAGACTACACAAAGCACCTTGTCTGGGCATCCACAAGCCCAAGCTTCCCCCCACGGTGGCTCTGACCTCTCTGGGCCTTGAGGCCTGGTGACCCTTTTTTTTTTTAGTTGACTTTTGTTTTTATTTTTTATTCGTTTATTTATTTTTGAGTTGGAGTCTTACTCTGTCGCCCAGGCTGGAGTGCAGTGGCATAATCACTCATCACAACTTTGACCTCCTGGGCCCAGGCGAGCCTCCCCCCTCAGCCTCCCAAGTAGCTGGGTCTGCAGGCATACACCACCGTGCCCAGCTACATTTTTTAGTTTTTTATAGAGACAGGGTCTCACTACGTTGCCTAAGCTGGTCTGGAACTCGAGGATCAAGTGATCCTCCTACCTCAGCCTCCCAAAGTGCTGGGATGACAGGCATGAGCCACCACACTCAGCCTGACTCATGTGATTCTGTGCCCTGAACATCATGCCATGCAAGGACAGGCAGCCTCTGGCCTCTCCCTCATTTTGTCCTCAGCACCCAGCCCAGGGCCCCACAGGCCACAGGCACGCAAACGATTCTGGCTGCCCCTGACACCCCTTGTTCCAGGCGTGGGGGAAATGAGGCCCCTCTCGCCTGCTCCCCCTCTCACCTCCCTGTCCTCTCGCCCTCTCCTTCCACTCCCACAGGTGGTGAAGCTGAAACAGATCGAGCACACCCTGAATGAAAAGCGCATCCTGCAAGCTGTCAACTTCCCGTTCCTCGTCAGACTTGAGTTCTCCTTCAAGGTGGGGTCCCAGCAGCCACAGGTCGGGGTCACCTTATGGGGTCCCTGCCGTCTCTTGGCTTCCAGGGCTGAGGTTGGGGCTGAGGACGATCCCTGGCCGCCCACTTCTGGGGAAGAAAGCAATCCCTGGAGAGGAGGCGGGGACAGGAGTCAGATAGGCTCTGCTGGACCCAAGTTCGGCTGCTGGGCCGGCGACGTCTGGCTCAGTCACCTTGGGAGAGTCACCCAGCCCTCACAGCATCCCTCAGAAGCCCCACCCCATTTACAGCAAGAGCCGGTACTGCAGCCAGAGCGGACTGCAGTTCAGTCCCAGTGCTGCACTTCCTGGACATGTGACCCTGGGCAAGGATTTCCTCTCCCTGAGCCTCAGTTTTCCCATCTGCAGAGTGGGAATCAGAGCGGGCCCCACCTGGTGAGGTTGTCATGACAGTTCCAAGCATGTCGTGTGCGTCCATTGGGAGCTGTTTGGGATGACATCCGCAACGTGGCCATGAGAGCTAGGAGAGGCCATTCGGGGCTGGCTTCCCAAGCATTGGACCCAGGTGCTTGCTTGCAAGGGCCACATTCAGGGGGCTCCACACCAATTTAGACTTTGGAGCCCTGCTGCTGTGTCATAAAATCCATTATTATTTTTTTAATAATTTAACTTTTTACTTTTTTTTTTTTTGAGTCATAGTCTCATTCTGTTGCCCAGGCTGCAGTGCAGTGGCATGCTCATGGCCACCGCAGCCTCCACCTGCTGGGCTCAGATGATCCTTCCACCTCAGCCTTCCAAGTAACTGGAACTATAGGCACGCGCTACCACGCCTGGCTAATTTTTTGGTTTATTGTAGAGATGAGGCCTTACCATGTTGCCCTGGCTGGTCTCGAACCATGGGCTCAGACAATCCTCTCACCTTAGTCTCCCAAAGTGCCGGGATTACAGGCATGAACCATCATGCCTGGCCAATAATTTTTTAGCAAGGAGCCAGATGTTTTTATTTGGGGTCTCACAAATTCTGTAGCCCATCCTAGTCCCATTTTGCAGATGACAAAAACTGTGGCCCCCAAAGCCCAGGCACGAGCTACTGCAGAGTCCTCTCTCCCTCTGGCCAGGGCACGCTGGCCAGTCCCCACACCGCTCTGAGCTGGCCCGCCCTTCCTCCGTGACAGCAGGATGAGGGCTGCCCCTTCTTCTTCCTGGGCAGAACAAGACGCTCTATGTGGTTCACCCCACACTGCAGGGGGCCCTTGGGACAGGCTTCCTGTGGGAGCTGGAATTGTCATCATTTTCCGTCTGGGCACCTGCCAGGGGAGGCCGCTGGGGCCTTCCAATGGGGCCAGGGCTTGGGAGCAGGCCCTGATGCACACTGCTTCCCGCAGGACAACTCGAACTTGTACATGGTCATGGAGTACGTGCCTGGTGGAGAGATGTTCTCACACCTGCGGCGGATTGGAAGGTTCAGGTGAGTGGGCCACCCACCACTCTAGGCTCTCGGGGCCTTCACAGGCAGTGGCACATGAACCAAACCAACTGGGGACACAGAGGTGTCTGGCTTGAAATGCAAGTGGTCTCTCCAGGTCCCTGTGGGGTTTTGTTCCGCTGTACTGAGGAATGTGTGGTGTTTTGACCACCACAAAATGAAACAAATAAACCAAATATGATGGCTTAGATGTCAACATTTAAGTTGGCGATTTTATGCAGGTTTTCCTTTGTGCCAGGTGTGATGGGGCACACCTGTCATCCCAGCTACTCAGGAGCCTGAGGTGAGACAACTGCTAGAGCCCAGGAGTTGGAGACCAGTCTGGACAACATAGCAAGACCCCATCTCTTAAAAAAAAATAGAGGCAAGAGGATTGCCTGAGCCCAGGGGTTTGAGACCAGCCTGGGCAGCTTGGCAAGACCTCATCTCTATAATTTTTTTTTTTTTTTTTT